TAATGATATAATTTTGAAGGCGAGAGGTTTCAATAAAGCCAACATAAGTTGTTTTATTCAGTCAAACAACTACTGTTTCAAAATATGTTAATCATATAATTTTTGCATCATCATATTGTAATTATGCTATAGGGATTATTATTTGTCCAAGAAAAACAAAAATTAAAGTTCAAAATAATTTACGTGAAACGCACGTGTACACCAACTAGTCTACAAAAATACCACTGTCACATAATTGGGTAGGGAATATAAATTAAAAGTTTCAAGCATCCGAATATATTTATATATCCATTACAATGCATTATAATTTCTGGTGAATGTAATTTATTTTGCGAGTTACATCCTAATTTTTAGTAATCCATCAACGGGCTACCCCCAATACCTAAACTGAGGAACTAATCAACTTGGCAAACCATGGCTTCAGGTGGTCTGAATCTCACTTTCTACTCGTCGTCATGGAAATGAATGTAACCCCAGACCAGCCTCAGCAAATAGCTAGAGGAGCACATGATTTGGCATAAAACGCTAATTTTTGTGACGATTTTGTTGTATGATTAGGTGAAACTCAAAGGATTGAAAGCAGAAAAGATGGAAGTAGTAGAAGGATACACTTTTTATTCTTTAAAAATAGAAAGTAACAATGATACACTTTTTTTTTCTTTGTGTTTGGTTGGATGGATGAAAAATAAAAATAACTAATTTTTTTTGTGCTGGCTAAGATTAGGAGTGACAATCAAGTCGTGTCGTGTCAGATTTGTGTTGAATCGTAAAATTATGAGTCTTTTATATTTCTTGTTTACGTGTCTGGTCATTTTCAAGTTCGTGTCGAGTTATAATCAAGTTCGTGTCATAAAATTCGTATCGAGTTCGAGTCGTGTCATCATGTTGAGCCGAAAATTTTCACCCTAGTTAAAATGAAAAAAATATATTTTTTTAATATAAATTTTTTTATTTTTTAAATATATTTTGTAAAATTTTGTAATATATATTATATTTTAATGTATACATAGTATATAAATAAATAAGATACATCTCAACACAAATAATTAACTTTTCATCTACTTTCTTTCTAATTTTGGAGGAATTGATTTTGGTGAGTTGGAAGGAAAATTAATCCATCCACTTTTTTATTCTTCCTATTTTCCTTCTTTACCAAATATGATGTTTCTTTATTTCTCTAACTTTCCATCCTCCCAACTATCCATTCTTCTATTTTTCTATCATACCAAACGGAGCATTATTCTTTATCACGTCTAATTGATATTCTCTGGCCCATAATAAAAAAAGGGTATCATTTTTCGATGGAAAAAACAATGTAATCCAGCACCAGCTTGGATCAGCAAAGGAAATTACTTTTTCCTTAGCAAGGGATGAGTGGACTTTCTGGTACAGTAACGTCAAAATTTTATTTTGATGCATTGTTTCGATTACCTAAGAAACGGATCAAATTAAGGTGGGTGGTGGTGGGACTGGTGATAACCCTGAACTGCTTTTTCCTTTATCTTCAAGAGATAACCATGATGATCAAATTGGCGTTTTATATTGTTTTGCTTTGTATTCTAATAAATCAGACATGATGATATCATCTAAATACTATAAATGAAGCACATCCGTCTAATGTAGTACCCCTTTTTGGCATAATATCAAAAATAAAGTTCTGGGTTCATCCACAGTTATCCAACATGATCTCATCATCTCATCGGAATAGAAAGCCATTTTCTCTCTCTTTCCATTTTCTTTTTCTTTTCTGGGTCACAAGAGGAGCCTCTTTCTTCTTTTTTTTTTAGGAGAGGGAAGGGGGGTTAATTGTATTGGCAGTTTCTAAAATAAAAAAATTATCTTATTTTTGTTTCTACTATTTCAACGTCATCATTTTTGTTCTTAAAACATTGAATATATTTCTATGTGGTCCTTCAAACAGAAAACATCTAAATTGCTAACGATTTTTTATCATAAATTTGTCACGTAATATTTAAATATAAACAAAAAATGATTTGAGTAACTCTTGACCAAAATTTGGGTTATTTACCAAAAATATATAATATGGGTAACTCTTGATCAAAATTTAAATAACTCACGATCAAAATTGTATAATTTCTTCTATGATATATACCATTTAATACAACTTTCGTTCATCATAGGACCACTGTCCGACACCTTGCGGCGGTTCTGGCCTGGTTTGACCTCTTCATGCTAGCTCTAAACCTTGTAATGAAGGGCATGGGTAGCGTAGGTGATTCGATTCTTAAGATTTGTGGATGACTATAAACATTTTCGGTTCAAAGAGTTTAGTTGGGATATTTTTTCCTAAAAAAAAAAAAAGATAAATTACATTCAAATTTCTTGAAGGTTGTTATTTTAATCACGTAAACATTTTTACATTTGACATATTACACTGAGACTCCTTGGGGATGACTATTAATCGACAGATGCTACGAAACTATACAAAAGACCTAAATATCTCTAGATATTCTCTGAAGTTCTTTACTATGACCAAACTGTCCTTCTGGTTGAGAATATAAGGTTTTTTGCCATAGTCGCTTCCTAGAGTGTTTATCGTGTCTTTAGAGCTTCTTATTGAATTTATTCTCCTCCAAATGAAGAACACTTCGGGGCATTTGAAGATCCTTTGCGCCTGACAATCATTGATGTTTGGATTTTCCTAAGTGTGATCACAGAGTCAAAGTCGTTCAATTGAGAATGTGTCTTAAATGTTTGGTTTAAGATGGGCAATTTGGTAAATTAATTTTAAATGTTATAATGACATAATGAATTTTTAACGGTTATTTTAACAGAGTTTAACAATAAGAGTTATGTGTTACATGCATACAAATCTCAAAAGATTTAAGAGTAATACATCAAACATGAAAAAATTTAAAAAATTAAGTGACAACCCTCGAAAAATGAAGGTGTTCTTTGAAGCTTTGGGTTGCAAGATAAAATTTAATCAATAGTATCTTTGATTTGTCATGAAACCTCTGTTCTAGGTAATTCAAAAAACATGTGAACTTCACTAAAGAAGGTTGGCAACACTCTTGTCACCATCTAACATTGATTCAAACCTCTTGAGGTTTTCTCTTACGGCACCATAGTATTTCTGTCAATTAAGGCTGCTGCAAGTCTATTCGAAAAAAAATTCAGTGAATTCTCCTGACGGTGTCGGGTGGCGTGCACACCCAATAGAAAGTTGTTACGATACAAACTAATCAAACATACAAATTTATTTTTTTAAGAAAAATTTTGACAAAGTTGTCCATGAAAATGTACAATGACTTATGGGAATTAAAATTATTTGGTAGTGTCACGTAGTGTGTAACTATGTATAACTCATTAAAAATTATTTATTTATTTATTTTCGTTGATTGAAAAAAAGTTGGAGGACGACCGGATATGAAACTACCGACGATTCTAAGGATAATTTAAGTCGACTCTAAACTTACAAATCGATAAAAGTAACTCAACAGTCTACTCTCAGTAAGTTGAACCTGTGACATATATAACCTTTGCAAACATCAAGAAAGACCCTTAATGGGGCGGTAAGTATCGTTATCTTCCGGGTTGCAATAGCCAGTGAAATTACTGGTATATGAATTCTTGTATCAGCACTTTTGATGGTCCAAAACGTGATTCTCTTTCATTGAATGCTTTTCATTTTCAAACACAGTCCCTCCCATTTCTTTCCCTTTCATTTCAAGATCATAGAGAATGCTTCTTAAACAGTTTTCCTGTGTCAAACGCTGATTAGGCAAGGTGCTATAGCCATAACGTTTACCTTAGCTTGATGAAGACGCACCCATTTCACATATAGTCAAAATGCTTAAATCAAAGTGGAAGGTCTTATAGGGTATACTTTTCCCAAAGAGAAATAAGAAAAATACTATTTAAACTTAAAAATCTTGCATAATTTGCAGACTTAATGACGTAGTTTCATTGAAACCATTAGATTAACACTAAATTTTAATGTTTGATGGAGCTCACAATCAATTCAAAGATCATAGTAAATTAAGTCAGCAAATTAGGTCAATAAATTAGGTCTCAATAGTATTGTTCGAGAAATAAATATCAAACACTTGTGGGGTTAGTTGACTTCAAACCACTCTCTCTCTCTCTTGTTGTGTATTTTACTCCCTTCACTATTATCTCATCACACCCATCTGAATGCTACACTAGTGGAGAGCCTTCTTTGTCCCAAAATTATGGCTCTCCATCTTCTTACTCAGCAAAGGGGTCCCTTTCTTTCCTTATTTTTGAGTTTTTGTTCTTTCACGGCGTACTAGCTGTCATGGTCCATGGGACACCACTCCAGTCTCTTCTTGCATGTTCAATGACTTTAGATAGGTAGAGAGAATAGAGAAACAATCTTCAATCTTCATTTATTGATACCCCTAGAACGTTTCTTTTTCTCCTTAATGATTCCAATTGAGTTCTACTGTTGGTACAACCGGAATCTGCGCAAGATGAAAATTAATCCTCAATTGATGGTTTTATTTTTCAAGATTAGAAATAACAATATTTCAGCGATTAGCCACGGTGACTAATAGAATAAGTGTGGTTAGCTCTTAAGGGGTATGAAAAAGAATTGAACCTAAAACTTTTGAATTACCAAAGAGTAGACTCAACCACTGAAAGACCTATGAGGGTTTCACTATAGATTAATGAGCAAAACTATAAGCAGTGTTTTAAAATCCTGCCCAGCCCGACGAATTGACCCGGTGAACCAGTGCCTAAACCAGACGGTTCACCTATTAGATCGTTTATGCATAAGAACAGAAGTTAACGGTGAACCAGCAAAAACTCAAGAAAAACCGTCAAATCGAGTGAATTCCATCAAACTGGCAGGTCATTTAATTTAGTATAAAAGTTGGTTTTTTGACCCTTTTGGGCATTTTGCCCTAAATTGTGTTGCCCAGCCCCTTCTTTGCGATAGTGGAGTGGTGGACATCGTTCGTTCCTCTCAACGTGAGTCTCTATGTATCTCTCTCTCTCTAAGACTCTCAATCTCACTCTCGTTTCCCCTTTTGATTTTCAAACTCTATTGTTCCCTTCAAGGCAATTGCAGTTCCACTACCCAGCCCTAAGAAGCTGTTCTTTTCCTCCATTCCCTCATCTTTTCTCTTTGTCCTTCGTTTTCTTCTTAGAACTCCATCGGATTTGGGTTTTCCTTGGAACTGACAGCGTCTCTCCTAACCAAGGACAAGCTCAATGCCTTCAGCTTAATGGAGCCTTTCTCAGAAGATACAAAGAGATCAGTCAGGGCTTATGGTATCTATTCTAAGGCTGCTCAGGTTAAGTTTTATACAATAGTGTGCATTGGGAGTTCGAAAGGGAGTGAGCCTCGATCAAAGACTCAAAGAGGAAGAAACAGGTACATACTGTCATACTCTCTGTCTCTCTCTCTCTCTCTCTTTCTTTGTGTACTCTCTATCTCAATTTGATTTGTATTTTGGTCTTTGGCTATGCCTTTCCTTACCTCACAAACGGCTAACAGTCTCAGATCAAAGATCTATCTGATGACTCTCGCTTTGCGTACTGTGAAAGTGGAACTGGTGAAGACTCAAAGGTTGGACATGAACTCGATCGGACCTCCATCGGATTCAGACTCATTCTCTACACATTTTCTTCCCTCAAGCGAGACACCAAGCACCAGTAGGTACGTCCTCTCCCCTCTTCTCTTTGCACATTACAATTGGTATATTATACACACTAATATTGTATTATATGGTTATAGGTTGATTGATTATGCCTTTGTTGATTCACTAAAAATAAGATTGTTTGTATTTAGGTTTGATTTGGTGAAAAATTTAGTTAAATTTGATTTGATATAGATTTTATAACAGTGGTTAGATTCAATTTGATGATTTTGGAATTTTTGTTTGATTTAATATGCATTAAGGACACTATTTTCATTGATTTTTTAACTTATTTATTATTATTATTATATTTTATTTTTTATTTTTTATTTTTTATTATACTACCGGTCCGACCAGTGACCCAACGGTTAAATCAGTAACTCGTTGACCCGGTCCCTCTACCGGATTGATGTCCGAGCCAAGTTTAAAAACTATGACTATAAGGATTTAATTTGGTAAAATTTGCAAGTGATAGGTACGATAATTTCCACACCCCTAAAGGTCCGTCATCCTTATTCTTCAAGAGACATATTCTTAATTAGATCGAGTTATAGTGGCCGATTCAAATCTCAAGAGAGTGGTTGGTACAAGTCTGAACACCCTGTAACACAAAAAAAAATGATACTTAAAAGAAAACAATGAAACGATTTTGTGTTCATCAAAGAAATAACGCTAATACTATTGAGACATAATTGAATGACATAATTTGAGGACCAATAAAATGACAAGAAATGCATTTAATGATGGTATCTATTAGAGCATGAAATGCATTCCATTATCCCTTTAAAATATATTATATTCCTGAATTATATCTCTAAATTATGTTTTAATAGCATGCCCAAGATATAAATATGAAGTAGTGAAGATGCATCGAGCTGAGCTAAGATAAGCTGAGTAAAGTGAGCTGGTTATAAAAGGTTCATAAACCAAACTAATGTGTAAGAACAAATTGTTAAGCTTATCAAATTTTGTTTATTAAATCTCTATCTTGGCATATTTTTTCACCATCAGATAAGTAAGTCCCGTTAATATTCAATGATAGAAATTTGTGACACATTATTTGGTATGAAAAGATTTGATAAAATTTTTTGCTAAGCATAGTATTTTTCTATTTCAAATCTTTTTTAAGGTAACGAGAAACTAATTCAATGATCGTAAAAAATTTGGCAAAAACCTTAACTTTAGGAGATTATAAAATCTGTAAAGAGAAAGTAATAAGTAAAAAAGGTTAAAAAATATCAGAATGGTGACAAATTCATTTATTTTATTTTTTTTGAAAAAATGACTTCAAAGTTAAAGTGAAGAAATATTTAAATCTGTCGCTTCCAAAAAAAAACTAGAAAATTTACTTACGTCCTGTCACTTTCCATCACTAAGTCCATATATGGGATCAGAAGGAGCCCTTAATTGATCAGTATCTTCTCCGACACCTGCAAATCACACAATCCGAACAAACATCTGTTTAGTTTCCCCAGGGAAAAAGAATACAATTTGGACAGAAATTATACATGTATACCTTATATGTAATCTAACCAACAAAAAGGTAAGAGCAGAAAACATGCAACAAGAGCAAGTACATGACAAAGACGCATAAGGATTAAAAAGAAAACACGCAAAATATACACGACAGAGTAACGTAAGTGCTACCAAAAAAACATCACACACAACTGATGAGACATTAACATGGCACTCATTACATGAATCTAACTATGGAGAGAAAAAACAATCCTGTCTGTCACACCAACGTTACACAGAACCCTAATGGCATATGGAAGAAGATTGAAAGAAACAAACAAAAAAATTGCAATAATGGCTGAACAAAACTCACCATCACATTTGGACTGATCCAAAGGAAATTGGACTGATAATTCCATTAATTGCATCGAAAAAACCGATCCATCTCAACAATTTACAGTCCCTTCATACATCATATACATATCTTTTTTGCATTTTTTCGGATTTTTTTTCTTTGTTTTTGCCTATATAAACGATGGATTAGTATTTCCGGCGAATTTAGTCCTCAAAATCCGCCATATTCAGGTGCTATTGCCCGTGATGGCCATTGTGGATCATATATATGTGGCTGGAGTTTCCACTTCCATGACCATGACCATGGTAAGCATACTTGGGAAGCTTTCCGGCTGATTTCTCATAGCATAATGGAAACACCACCGGTTTTGCTTTCCGGTGGACGCACCGACCAGTGGGCGGTAATGGAAACCTGGGAATACTGGAACCAGTACCACCATCAGCAACGGCGGAATTGGGCGGTGATGATTTAGGTGATGTAGATGAGCAGGCCATTGAAGGAGGAGGAGAGACCTTTTTGGTGGATTTGGGTTGGGAAAGAAAAGCCCTTATCTTTAGAGATGACGGCGGTGGTGCCGCTTGATCGTATTCCTCGATGAGATTGGCCAGATCTTCATCGGAGGTGATTGACACCAACGCATCTAAATCTTCCGTCGGCAACTGACACCGGAGACTCACCGACGTCGTCCCACACAACTCTCCTAGCTTCACAAGTAGCTCTGTAACCACAGCACCCACAAATATACTTTACTCCATAATCTTTATCCTTCACACACACACACACTGACACACATCCATACATGAATACGAGAGATATGTGTGCGTACACACACACACACACATATATATATATATATAGAGAGAGAGAGAGAGATGGATTGAAAGAGAAAAGGGAGTAATTACCAGAGAAAGTGGTGGATCGATCGACGGCAAGGACACGAGTTTCGCCGCCGTGGTAACGGAGTTTGCCATCAGGGTAACGGGGGAGGATCTTGCCGCCATAGCTACAGAGGAACTTGACGGTGGTGGCGGTGGGTTTGATGGCGAGGTTGTGGGTGTAAAAAGAAGGTCCGACCATGCTTTTTGTTGATGATAGAGAAGATGGGGATGGGTCCAGTTTTGAAGATCTATATTCTATAGCAAAAGAGATCTTCCTAAAGAGACTCTTCCTAGGAGAAAGGAAGAGACTAGAGAGCTTTGAAGATGCTTTGGAGTGGCGTCTTCAAGCCTAAGTATGGTACCATTTAGTCCTAATTTATAGAGTTTTGGGATGGTGGGATGGAGAGGGGGTGGTGGAAAACCAGAAAGAGACCCCAGCCCCTCGTCAGTTTGATTCCCACATCGGTGGGCCAGGTTTTAAATTTTGAAGATTAAATATTACCATAATATTATTTATATTTATGTTATTTAAAGGATTAATTTAAAAATCTGAAATATATATTGCACTGTTGAATAAATGGTAAGTTTCATTGTATTCCTAATAATGACCACACTGAACTAAATCTTCCATTTTCAATTTTAAGTGAATTTTTTTTCAACCGCTGCAAACTCTCTCGTTTTTTTTTTTTTTTTTTTTTTTTTAAGGTTAGAATGGTATCATGAGTTGTCATATTTCACAATGAAATCTAACAGTACATCTACTTAAATAAGGAGTTAAAAGATTTGTCTATCATACCCAAAAAGAAAAAAAATGGTATTATACCTCCATTTACTTATATTTATGATTATTTTTATTATTATTGTGGGTATTTTTAACATTATTATAATATCCAAAAAAATGGTAACAAAATAAGTTTTTTGTAAAAAAAAATAATAAAAATATAATTACAACAGTAATAAAAACACTCACAACAATAATAAAAACACTCGTAAAAGTGATAAATCACCACAAAAATAATAAATTTTTTGATTGTAAAATGACCCATAAAAATTACAAAACTATTCATTGAAATAATAAATTTTGAAGATATGATACCGAATTTTTTTTATTCGATACTAACTTTAAATGCCAAGTGACCAGAATAGAATTTAAACACCAATTTCAAAATGAAATTGGTGTAGTTTCTTCCACGGCTTGTACACATGTGATTGTGCATTTCTATTCGCTAGAACCCATAAACTTGCTTGGCGTCTATTTTACTCTTTAATTCAATTGTTGTCAAAGTACATTTAATTTATAAGTAGTTCCCAAAAAAAAAAAAAATTCTCTATATAAATCCTTCAATAGTGTGATAACTTTCCACTGTGTGTTTCATGTTATACCACATACTATGAATCCATACTCTTTAATCTCTTTTTTTTTTTTTATTTCCAACACCTTTAAATCTTGAGGCTAAGAGGCACATAACCCAAGATTGGATTTCACATGAATCAATCCTTTGGTCATCTATATGTGGAACAAACCCTTTTTTTTTCCCTGATTTTATGGAAGGTGACACATGTGAGGCTTCAAATTGTCTGAAGAGAACATCGAATATACAAATCAAAGTACTTAGATATACAATTGATTACCTTAAAAATTGTCAGGGGCTCCACGTATCCCCTTCCACTGTAAACCTCCACCATCTACATATCTGCCATCTGGTGTGGGTTTGAGCCTCGCGATATTCAAGTCAATTTTCTTTTTTCTATTTTTCTCTCTTCTTTTTTGAAAAATGAAAAATGAAAAAAAAAAAAAAATCTTGATCTTGATATTGAAGTCGTGTTCATGCATTTCAATCACTGTGGGAAGCATGGTCCAGGACTGGTTTGTTTGCAAGGGAAGAGGGTGATGCTTGGGCCCTGCAATGGAAGTCAGGATATAACTGGGTAGCTACATTCACTCACTGACAGTAAGGGTCCCTTATCAACCCCATCCCCACCCAACACCCCCCCCCCCCCCACCCCCAAAAAAAAAAAATACAGAGTTTGTTGAATGAATTTTCCTCCACAAAATGATGCATGATCAGGCAATTAAGTTGAATGAATTTTCCTCCACAAAATGATGCATGATCAGGCAATTAAGTTAAAATTTTAATGATTAAAGATGTTCGAAATAATTTACATGCGCTTCAATTAATTATTTTTTTGATATAATTACAAGTCGGCTGCCATCGGAGATGTCGAAATAATATTTCCCCAATTGTTGTCCCTTTCATAATCATGTCACGCCATTAACTGAGAGCACTGCATTTCACACGGCATGTGGTTCCCACTTTAACATGCAGTGTGTGGTTCTCACTTCTCTTTGGGGCCCAACTTTGTATGTTCAATTAATTCAAACCCTCAACCTTTAGTTTATTTTTTTTATTTTATTTTTTAGGCATTTTTTCTAATATACTGTCACATTAAATAGTTATAATTATGAATCATCTACAGCTGATATCCATTAAATTAGAGTCACGAGTAATCAATAAGTCTAAATTTAAAGTTGATCCTAAATTAAGAGACGACACTAATGTGACGGATTCCACTTCTCCTCTTTATTTTCTTATCTTTGCTTTGTATTTTTCAATGGACATGAGCATATCCACCTTCATCTCCTAATATTATGTAGGGTGTCTAGCATTTTTCTTGTTTCATTTGCCGACATGTTGAACTTAAAAATAGTAATGGGTAGGCCCCAATTACACATTTTGAACGGAAGAAAATTTCTTTTTTTTTTTTAAATATATTTCGTTCTTAAATTATTAGGTTATAGATTAATAGAAAGGAAAATGTTATTTACACTTAAAAATATGACATAATTTATTGATTTAATGATGTAACTTCATTGAAATTATTGGATTAACACCAAATTCTAATGTTTGATGAAGCTCATAGTCAATCCAAAAGTAATAGTGAATTAAATCAATAAATTATGTCAATAAATTAAATAACAATAGTATTACTCTTAATAAATAATTATTATTATGAATAAAGTACGATAAAGTTAATGGATTACAATCTTTTGTTTAACATCAAAAAAACGTACAAGAAGTTTATTAAAGGGTTCATTAGTGGATCAAGTAGAATGAGTAATATTATGTTCTGTTCAGTAGAAATGATGAAAAGTATGAGGGAAGAAAAATATGAATGACACATTTTCTATTGTCTAAGGAAGGAAAATAAGAATTATATACTTTATTTTTTTATGTTTGGTAAGATAGATGGAAAGTATAAATGATTAATTTTTTTGTGTTTGGTACTAATGAAAAAATAAAAGCATGAAAAATATAAATACATAATAACATACACTTCAACACACATAATTAATTTTTCATTCACTTTTCACCTAAATTTGGGGGGGATTGATTTTGATGAGTTAGAAGAAAAACTAATTTATTCACTTTTTCATCATTCAAATTTTTCTTCCTTACCAAATTATATTCATTGACACAAATATAATTTGACATAAAATATTGTAAAATAACATAATTAATCGACAAAAATTAGACAAAATAAATACTCAATTTTCTTGGGAAGATGAGGGGCCGACACACCGAACACGAAACCATCCAAGTCTATCAGTTGGAAGAATAAATATTAAATATAACGGTGATACTATGTCACCATTAATGATATGGTGTCACCAACTAATATTAAAACTATAAATAAAAAAGGTGAATCTCACTTGAGTTTATATGACAAAAAGGTGGGAGTTATTTTTGTAGAGTCAATGTGTTTATTTGTTTTAATATTATTGGTTGATGATATCATATCATTTTACGATATGGTATCACCGTTGTAATGAATATTTTCTCTATTTAGAGACCCATTCAGAGTCTGGTTTGCAAGCTTACGAATTCTTCTGATTGATTTTGAGAGAGATTTATTAAGAGAAAGAATTTTGAGGAAATAGGACATATTTCTTAAAATTGTGGGCCCATTTCATATTTTTTTTTAGTACATAAAATAAATTTGTACATTCCTACTCTTATAAATCCATCATTTCCAATCGTAATATTGTGAGTTTAATAAGGGTACTCACAAAAAAATTTCAATATCTTAATTTTTTTTTTTTTATCTAAGCAGAGTATTACATGTATAAAGTCTGATTTTATTATTTTTGGGTCAAATAATTACAATTTATTCAGATAAAAACCTATGATCATAAATGATTTTTCTTGATGAATTACATGTATATTTTTGTTCAGCGATCATGAATGTTTGTGTCAGCTTACGCACACCTCAATGAATCTCTTCTCTAGTTTAGTTAAAGACGTCTCATCCACATTGAGATTAGAATATTCATGAGGGATAAATCTATTATGATCTAGCTTAAGGGATTGTCAAGATTTAAACTCAAAACGTCTACGTTTATAACTTGTCCTTGTTATCACTTAAGCTATCCTCGGGATTATGGGGAATAGGACTTGTGATGGGCTGACATCCAAAATTTCGTTTCGAAATGGTCGAAACGTTTCCATTTTCAAAGAGACCGAAATAAATCAGTGATGAAATCAAAACTATAATATTTTGTATTGTTTCATAATGTTTTAAGATGTTTTATAATATTTCAATGCATTTGCACAATTGTTTCGACATGTTTCATGGTATTTTAAGATACTTTGGTTTATTTCAATCAATGTTTGGAAAAATAATTCATAATTTTTTTTTATTTTTCATTTTGTTTTCAAAATGGGTTGAAAAATTTTCGAAAGACGTTGAAACATTTTCGTTTCTTAGGTGATCGAAATAATACAACAAAATAAAATTTTGATCCTTAATGACATCCAAGTTCAAACCCTTTTCCTCGATCACCCTTAGTATGTACAGACTATGTTTATTTGAGATAATTCTAAGTGTCAAGAAAAAAAAATTCAGTATGATAATGAAAATTTATATTTTCAAGATTAAGTTACATCTTTTAAATATAAAGAGTTACAACTATTTGAAGTAATTCATTGTCTATCCGGAAAAATGTTGTGATTAATCATGAATACTTTTTAATCAGTTGTAATTTTACATTTAAAAGTTGAAACTTTATCTTCAAAAATTATAATTTTCATAATCGATTATAATATTTTAGTATCAGTCGTTTCTTCTGCAGATATAACTTATAACTCAAAAGCTTATAACTTTATGTAAAAAATAAATTATAAATTTTAATACAATACC